ACTAAGAATAGAAACCTAAACTCATTGCTGCCTGATGCTTACTAAAACTTGGTTACAAGAAATAATATTCAGGAAGCCCACACTGGGGACTCCCAGAGGCAGCAATTCTGGAGGAAGGAAAGGCGCCCCAAGGAGGGAGCTACTGTTAAAGGAGCATCCCAAGAATTGAGAGTGAAGGACAATTTAATCTTTCTTACAATATGTTCTCTCATACAGCTCTCAAACTTGTTGGTCGCAGGAGCCCCTTAACAACTCTTAAAAACTATCTTTGTGAGTATACGCATGGATACTTAGATTAGGTTGTAAAAGAAAAATTTTAAACACAGTAATACAGAAACACACATTCCATTAGCCCTCAGAGTTGAAGTGAAATCACTCCTAATTGTAGCCTCAGAAAATTCCACTGTGAGGGCGCCTGGGTGGCTCAGTTGGTTAAGCAACTGCCTTCGGCTCAGGTCTTGATCCCGGAGTCCCGGGATCGAGTCCCACATCGGGCTCCCTGCTCAGCAGGGAGTCTGCTTCTCCCTCTGACGCTCTTCCCTCTCGTGCTCTCTGGCTCTCATTCTCTCTCTCTCAAATAAATAAATAAAATCTTTAAAAAAAAAAAAAGTTGTACTTCTCTTAAACAACATGCATTTGGGGGCGCCTGGGTGGCTCAGTTGGTTAAGCGACTGCCTTCGGCTCAGGTCATGATCCCAGGGTCCTGGGATAGAGACCCGGCACTGGGCTCCCTGCTCAGCGGGGAGCATGCTTCTCCCTCTCCCTCTGCCTGCCACTCCCCCTGCTTGTGCTCTCTCTCACTCTCTCTCTCTCTGTGTCAAATAAATAAAAATAAATTAATTAATTAATAATAATAATAAAAAACTCACTACTATGTTTATTATTAGGATTCCCCCCCCAAAACACAGGTCCCCACAATGAAGACCAGTGAGACGAATTTTTCTCAGATCTGGCAATCAAGGGGCACCTGCAGGGCTCAGTGGGTTAAGCGTCTGCTTTCAGCTCAGGTCATGATCTCAGGGCCCTAGGATGGAGACCAGAGGCCAGTTCTCTGCTCAGTGGGGAGCCTGCTTCCCCCTCTCCCTCTGTCTGCTATTTCCCCTGCTTGTGCTCTCTCTCTCTCTCTCTCTGTCAAATAAAATCTTTAAAAAAAAAACTAACAATCAAAAAAAGTTGTACTTCTCGGGCGCCTGGGTGGCTCAGTTGGTTAAATGACTGCCTTCGGCTCAGGTCATGATCCTGGAGTCCCGGGATCGAGTCCCACATCGGGCTCCCTGCTCAGCAGGGAGTCTGCTTCTCCCTCTGACCCTCTTCCCTCTCGTGCTATCTCTCATTCTCTCTCTCTCAAATAAATAAATAAAATTTTTAAAAAAAAAAAAGTTGTACTTCTCTTAAACAACATGCATTTGGGGGCGCCTGGGTGGCTCAGTCGGTTAAGCATCTGCCTTCGGCTCAGGTCACAATCCCAGGGTCCTGGGATCAAGCCCCCCAGGGGGCTCCCTGCTTCTCCCTCGGGTCCTCCCCGTGGCTCCTGCTCTCTCCCTCTCTCTAATAAATAAACAAAAATCTTTAAAAAAACAAAAACACGTGTTTGATTTTATAAACACCATGAATCTGGAAGGTGAGCTTTATTTTCTTCTTTGCTTTGTTTGAGAAAACTAAGAGCCAAATATGGAACCCATCTTTAGTAACTGTACAGTACTTTCTAGTCTATATACTAACTTTGCCACTGGTTTATTATTCTTCTCTCATTTCTTCTTTGCCTTAATACCTTATTTTTAATCCTTTAGCCTGTATACATTTAGAAAAGAGGTGGGAAATAAAGAGTATTTGATAGCCGCTTTTTTAACATAAAATTGATTGTGTACTTTCTATGTGCCAGGCACTATATATACTAAGCACTTTACAACCCTCTAAGGGTTGGACTTCTTTTTTTAAATTATTCTTTTTAAAAGTTTTTTTTAAAGATTTTATTTATTTGAGAAAGAGAGAGAGAGAGCACAAGCAGGGGGAGTGGCAGAGGGAGAGGGAGAAGCAGGCTCCCACTGAGCAGAGAGCCTGACTTGCTTTTAAATTTTTTTTTAAGTTACCTCTACACCCAACATGGGGCTTGAACTCACAACTCTGAGATCAAGGGTTGCCTGCTCTACCACCTGAGCCAGCCAGCCGTATATACATAATATATGTATATTATTTCCATATACAGCTGAGGGAACTGAGGCTCAAGGAGGTTTATTAACTTACGTATGATCTCACAACTTGTATGTGACAGAGCTAGAATTCAAATGCAGCCCAAATCATTACACCTAGGCATATGTACAAGTTATCACAGGATCAGATTAGGTGAAGGAGAGGGTGGGAAAGTCCACACGCAGGATGTGACATTTGAGCTAACAGTCTTAAAGGAAGGAGCTTGCCAAGGAACAAGGAGAAAGTATTCCAGAGAGAAAGAGAAATCATGTGCAAAAACCCAAAGCAAGGAGAGAACATAAGTTCTGGGAACGTCAAGCAGAACATAGAGTTACATTCAGCAGTTCATTCATTGTGCAGGATTCACCAGAAAGTTAAGTCATTTAATATTAGACATTTAAGAGGTCCAGTATTGAGAATTTCCATGGCCACAGTATTGAACTGTCACTGGGAAGACAAGCAGAAGTGAAATAAAGGCAGTCTCTTTTTTGGGGGGGGGCGCAAAAGAGAGAGAGAGAGAGAGGAGGGACAGAGGGAGAAGGAGAGAGAATTCCAAGCAAGCTCCATGCTCAGCACAGAGCCAGATGCAGGGGCTCAATCCCATGACCCTGAGATCACAACATGAGCTGAAATCAAGAGTTGGATGCTCAACCAACTGAGCCACCCAAACACCCCAAAGGCAGTCTCTTTTTATCATTAGGCTAAAAAGTCTGAATTATGTTCAATAAGCAATGGGGAACCATAGAAGGACTGAAGCAGGAGAATTACAAGATCAACTTGCACAGCATGATGAATGAATTAGATTTGAGGTAGAGAACACAGTCAAGAGTCCACAGCAAGAGACTGACAGCGAAGTAATGAGAGTTAAAATCTGCCCCAAAAAAACATGTAATGTAAGCCACATAAATAATTTTTAATTTTTGTATAGCCATGTTAGAAAAGTAAAAAAGAAAAAAAAATGAAAATAATTTTAGTAATACTTTTATTTAATCCAATATATCTAAAACATGATTTCATCATATCAATATAAAAATTAGTAATAAAAAATTTTGCATTCATTTTCTCATACTAATCGGAAATCTGATTGTATTTTTACTTAGAGCACACCTTGTTTTGGACATTAAATTTTCACTGGAAATATTTGATCTGTATATAGATTTCATAAAACTTACAGATGAAAAAGTAGATTCACATACACAAATTTTTCCAAACATACTTGAATATTTTCCAGGGAGTCAAGTACCAGTTTTTTAATTTAAATTAATTACAATTAATAAAATTTAAGTTCAGTTCCTCAGCCATGCCAGCCATATTTCAAGTGCTTTATGGCCATATATGGCTACCATATTGAACAGTGCAGACCCAGAATGACAAAGGACCCTTGGCTGGTAGCACTTCTGTCATCAGCATTTCATATCTACTTACCGTTGAGGTATTCTGTGTACTAACATCGGTAACTTACCAAGTATTAACTACGACAGTGGTCCTACTGGTCACATCCTCGCTACTGTAGCTTACTTTCTCTCTAGACCACTGCCTACATCTGTGCAAAAGAAATCTTCTCATACCACACAGAATTGCTATATAGTATCTGACATGTGAAATGCACACAAAAATGTTTGTGGGATGGATATATGCTCTTCTTCATCACTCAAGTAGTAATTCACTTGTCTGTGGACTACTTAAGCCCTCTGTTTCTATTTCCCTATGGTTTGATTGTTTATTAGACTCTATGTACTAATATGATGATAAAAGGAAGAGCAGTAAGAAAATCTATTTTCGGGTGCCTGGGTGGCTCAGATGGTTAAGCGTCTGCCTTCGACTCAGGTCATGATCCCAGGGTCCTGGGATCGAGTCCCGCATCAGGCTCCTTGCTCAGCGGGAAGTCTGCTTCTCCCTCTCCCTCTGCCTCTCCCCCTGCTTGTTCTCTCTCTGTCTCTCTCACAAATGAATAAATAAAATCTTAAAAAAAAAAAGAAAAGAAAATCTATTTTCAATTGCATGTTTATTGGAGGCATTATAATACAATGGGTAAGAGCCTCAGTTCTGGAGTGAGACTGCCTGGATTCAGATGTGGGTTCCATTATTTATTAGATGAGTGATCTTGGCCTCTCTGCACCTCAGTTCCCTCTTCTGCAAAATAGTGATCACAGTACATACTTCCTTGGGGTGCTTCAAGATTATAGAAGATAATACATATAAAGCACTTGCACATGGTACTTGGCACATAGTAGATGTTCAATAAACATTAGCTTTTAATATATTTTATTTATTTTTTAAAGTAAGCTCTATGCCCAACGCGGGGCTTGAACTCACCACCCTGAGATCAAGAGTCGCACACTCTACCAAGAAAAGCCAGCCAGGTGCCCCAACATTAGTTTCGTTTTGTTTTTAAGATTTTATTTTTAAGTAATCTCTACACCCAATGTGGGGCTCAAATTCACAACCCTGAGATCAAGAGTCTTATGCTCCACAAACTGAGCCAGCCAGGTGCCCCCCCACGCCCCGAAACACTAGCTTTTTAAACAGAGCTGGTGAAGAAGTTGAAATCATAGTTAAAGTAAAAAACTAGGATTTCTCAATTACCCACGTCTCTTTCCCATATAATCTTACACACACACACATACACACACGTACAGGTAGTACTCTGACCTCCTCAAAAGAAAGATCTTGCATGTAGTTATATTCACTACAAAAGAAGCTAAATAAAAAACTTCATCTACTGACAGTGTATAACTATGCACTATGGCATAGGTGTAGCCAAGCAAATGGAAAAACACGAAACAAAATAGGAAGGCATTTTGCCTTACCTGCTTTTCCGTTTTCGAGGTGGTTTCTCCACTGTGCCAGTCAGTCTACAAACCAAACAAATAAGACGGTAACTAAAAGTAACATATAAGAACACGTCTCCTGGCCCTACTGTGCCAGTCAAAAACTCAGCGTACCACCCTCTAGGACCACAGGCTCGCTAAGCTCATACCTGACCTTACAAACGCCTTATGCTCTGTTTCCCCTATTTACCAAGACCAAGCAATCCTGGGACTCACGGTTCCCCTAATGTCTGCTTTGCCCAAACCCTGCTCTCCCTGCTAATCCCTCACTCCATCCTCAGCTCCTATTCGTCACAGCCCCGCTCCCCAAAACCACCCACCTCCACCTACTCATTGTCTGCCTCGTCACCCCCGAAAGCTCCTCCGGCCTCCCCTTTCCCGTGCCCACCCCCTCCCGAGCGTGCACAGCCCCTCCGAGCCCCGCCCCTCCCGGCCCCGCGCCCCCCGCATTCCACGGCCCGTCCACGGGGCGCGCGCGCCCTGCCCCTCCCGGCCCCGCGCCCCCAGTCTCACCCCTCGCCGTCCCTTCCCTCACACGCCCCTCTCACCCGGCATCGAGGATGCGATCGCCGCCCAGCCCACTCCCCCGCCCCTGGATGCCCCCAATCTCCCCTCAGCCAGAACCCCCCGCCCCTCCCGTCTCGGAGCCCCGAATGCTTCACGGCCCCGAGCCGCTGCCCCTGGGCCCGCTCCCGCGCCCCCACCCCATCCCCAACCCCGACCTCGACCCAGCTCCCGCCCCACCTGGGGACCAGGCGACTCCGCGGCTGCTGGGGCTGCCGGGCTCCTCTGACCATCCGGCTCCTGCTCCGCCGCGGGAGCTGCTCCGGCGGCCGCAGGGCTCGCTCGGGAAGCTGAGGCGGCGGAGGCTGGAGTAGGCGGAGAGGCGGGAGGAGGGCCTCGCGCCTCTGCCTGGCATGCCGCGGGGCCCGCCCTCTCCGCGCCTCTCCCCGACTCCCATTGGCTAGAGCCGTAGTGTGGCCGAAAGCCTGGCAGTCGATTGGACGCTTGGGCCGTCACATCCCGCCACCTAGGTTTGGTTGAGACTGCAGGTGGCGGCGGAGGTGCCTTAGAGACTGCTAGCAGGGCAAGGGAAACCTAAGCGCCACCATGCGCTGGAAAGTAGAAACTGCATCTCAGGCTCCAGACACCTGCCGGCAGGTTCTCCTGGCTCTGCGTCCTGCATTCCACACACCAGCTGACGCCCCCCAACGCTGCACCACACCAGGACCAACAGCCAAGCACTGCAATTTCCCAAACTCTGGCAGGTGCGACCGTGAGGTAACTCTCCAGAACGAGCTTCATTTTAAACCATCTCGATGCAGTCCCTAACTCTACATCATGCTGAAATGGTCTCACAGCTCACAGGTACCTTTCATAGAGGATCCAGCAAGAAAACTGCAAGAATCTACCAAAATAAAGCATGTTTCAGCTGCTCAGTCCCCTGCAGAAAAGATCACAAGCTTGTGTGCAGGCTTCCAAGAAAGCAAGAGGTTTAAAAAATTACCATGAAAGGAATATCATCACTGCAAACAGAATTGCCATACCTAAAAGCAATGTGTTCCGTTTTGGAAGGACTAAGTAGAATGGATCCTTGAGTGTGTGCTAACCATCCTGTGATACTGTAGTTGATTGTAAATTCAATGCCAGTTAATCGATTTAAAAATAAATTTCACTGCATTTTTATTGACAGACCTAAACATGCAAGACTACCAGCACATAAGCACAGTATTAGTTACCATTCCTGTTATACTTTAATAAGGCCATCCTTGAGAAGAAGACATAGCTCATAAGGGGCGCCTGGGTGGCTCAGTTGGTTGGGCGACTGCCTTTGGCTCAGGTCATGATCCTGGAGTCCCAGGATGGAGTCCCACATCGGGCTCCCTGCTGAGCAGGGAGTCTGCTTCTCCCTCTGACCCTCCCCCCCTCATGCTCTCTCTCTCTCAAATAAAATCTTTAAAAAGAGAGAGAGAGAGAAGACATAGCTCATTATTTAAATTCTTCCTTCAATGTAGTCTACAGCCTCTCTACATTCCACATGAACAGGTTTTTGTTTTTGGTAGATACTTGGCAACTATTTCGAATTGGGAGGAGGCATCAAACTTTCTTTTGCTATTACCTTTTTATTATGTTTTTATGCATCAATAATGTGACAGCCTAGAGTAGATCACACCAGCACACTGGGGACAAATCTCTCACTGACCCTCACAAATGGCAAAAATTAGGATACAGCTTTTCACAAAACCGAATTTATTTGGTGGAAAGGGCTGTCCTTTATTCTCAGATGGCTCTTTTATATCTTTCATGTTAAAAATGACATTCCTTCTATGAAATAATGATAAATTGTAGTGGGGGTTTTTAAATGGCTTTGACAAGGAAAAAAATGTCGAACATCTGTTGGTTCCCCTAATTTTTATGTAATCCCTAAAGCACCAAACTATGGACAGCCTTGATCTCAACCAAACCAGAAGGGGGGGGGGGGCAGAATAATTTGTCAGACAAGAGTGTGGCAGGTGGAATAGGAGTCCTGGTGGGGAGGGCCATCAACTCATTAGGAGACTAATCTTGAAATATCACTCATTACATTTCTTAAAAATAGGGATTAAAATCTTGTGTGGTTTTCAAGATCTTTTATAATTGGCCAACTCCTGATACATGGTTCTGCCAAGAGAGCTGCTGCTTTCATCTCTTAAGCCTTCCCAAGGGGCACCCTCAGTCCTACCTTCATGTCACATGCAAGTTCTAGTAATCTGTTTGTGTTTTTACTAAATAAACAATGTACATCCCAACATTCTTGTCCACATTTAATTCACACTTCCTCTTTTAAGCCTTTCCCAATTATTCCATTCTACATCACTTTCTTCTCCAAATTCGTTGCACTTTCATAAGCTACTGTATCAGCAATTATATATTGCCTTAGATTATTACTTCCCATCTACATTTAATTTGGGCAAATGGTATATTAGAATGAGCCCTCAATAAATGGCAGCTTTGGGCCAGGGACTGGGTACTTTATGTGTGCTATTTTTAATTCTAAGATCAACTCTGGTATTTTCTTATTTTAGACACAGAATTTTAAGATCCAGAGAACCCAACTCGTGCAGGGTCACACAGTTACAATAACCAATACTGCTTAAGATGGCTTAAGAGGGTTTAAGACGTACTCTTGTATGCCCTAAAGGGGTTCAAGTTCCAGCTCTCCTATGCAACCTTGGCAAAGTCACCTATCTAAATCTGTTCCTTCATCTGAAGGGGGTCAGGGGAAGAAGTAATACAGTCACAGAACCATGATAAAGGTAAACACAAAACAGGGCAAATACAGCCTTTAGCTAAGTTAGCTATTACTGCCTGGCAGAGCTAGGTTTTTTACCTACATCTGATCCCACAGCCTATATTCTTTACACTATTCCATAATGCCACCATGCAGTCTTTTATATCTCATTCCCATTTATATACAAAAGCAGAGTGCTGAGAACAATAGTGGGTGTCCAGGGATTGAGTGGAATATATTTATGTAATAAGTATTTTGTTGATACACACACACACAAAATCCTCATAAATTTCATGCAGTTTGAAAAGGAAATATTTGAGTGATCCAAGCCAGCATAATCTCTCATGAGGGTAAGGAAAGGCAATCACCAACTGATTGATAAGGAAATAGAAAATTAAGAAGAGAGGAATAAGGAACAAACATTCCCAGGCATCTACTGTGTCTGGCACCAGACTAGGGGACTTTCCAAATGCTTTTGGTGTTTTACTACTGTATACTTCATCAGCATGAATGCACACTGTAGACATACAATTTGAAAGAGCTGGGATGATCTCATGATGCATAGTTCTGGGCACTGGGTCCAGGACATAACAATGAATCTTGCCTTTAAAGAACTGGAAAACGTAGCTCAAAGTCAAATGCAGAACAAGAAAGAGTTTCACTTCTGTTTACTAGTCAAGCAACCAAGTGAAGGAATAAGCATTTTTTTAATTTAAATTGTGTTATATAAAACGCTAACTTCTTGTTGGGACAGGCTACAGACTATGCATTAGATAAAAGTTTCTGACAAACTTCCTATAATCTTTTTATTAGTTTACACTGAGAGAATATAGCACCTTTCATCCAACGAACTGAAGGTGCTTTACAAACATTAGCATTTAAAAAACAATTACATTTAAAAATCTGGATTCGTGGTTAAATCTCTTCAACTCCAGATACACAATTTTCTGTAGGCTGATGGAAAGAATTCTATTTCTGACAACGAAAGAGGCTCAGAAAGAGTTTGGATTTGCTTTCGCAATACAGGCATTTTCAAAACCTGGTGCTGGGCTTACAAAGCAAAAACACACAAATCTTAATGCGATGAACAATATTTCAAACCTTATTTCAAACGCAAAACCCAGGGTTTAAGACGTCACAATCTTCCAACAGTTCTGGTCATCCAGATGGAGTAGGAGCTGATGCAGGTTGCATATTAGATGTGCTCTCGATCCAGACTTTTTAGGATCACACCCAAATGAACACATTTAAAGTGGTGCGATATTTCAGGAAAAAGCATTAAACCTATAAAAAGCTAGCCAAGAGCATATCACGAAAAGGGGAAAGAAAGTAATTGGCAATTAAAAGTAGACAGTTCTCACTAGAGCCTAGGACACTTTATTAGAAACCAAGTATATCATCAGCAAATAAAAATAGTTATTACCCCCATTAATACAACATAAAGGATTTTACATTCAGCCTAGATACAGGGAGTAACAGATCCTCCTGCCTACAAATCTGTGACTTGCAAGTATCTTCCACTACATGATTATTCTATATCGTACATAGCCCTTATTTATTAGAGGGATCCAAATATTCCTTTTAGGCTTACAAAGTCCAATACATTCACTCTCTCTTCCCTTTACATGTCTAATAGTAAAAACTATTTTTTTTTCATGCAAAAAAGCCGTTATTCAGCTGAAGAGAAAAAAATCAGACAAAATAGAGATGGCAATTAAGGAATGGACAGAAAATTATTGGCACATGCCCAACTAGTGACAAACAAATGCAATACACCATGACTTAAAAATAAAGGTCACATTACAAGGATAACTAAAACAACGACATCATTTTAAGCTAAGGAGTGTCAAATGGGAAGGGAGGGCTGAGGTTACCGATTTTATTGGTACAACTTAAAAGCAGAGGAGAGCAAGCACTTAAATACAATTTATGGTAACAGAAAAAATCCCTGCAGAGAGCTGTTCAAAGACCACGCCAAGCTGTCTGCGTCATTAATTTCCAGTGTCTCACAATTAGTAAAATACATAGCTACATATCCCTGGAAGATAAAAATACGTTTCCCCCTGAATTACACTGGGGTCAGGGCAGTAACAGAAAGCTACTGACCCAACAGTTCAAGTGTGTGCAGCAAATGTCTTAGCCACTGCTTTCATATAGCTATACAATTAAAAACTAAACAAGGAGCTAGGTGGTTGCAGAAAATAAAAATCAAAATTATTGTGCTCATTTAATAAAAGAAAAACCCTGATGAAAAATTATGTGCCAAGAAGCTTAGACTATAAAGATTTTTATTGCATTTTTAGGTAACCTGGAAGTTCTTATCCTGAAGGGGAAAAGTTGGTTTTCAAAACTACCTGAACAGATACTAAAGTGCTTTATTAATTGGCTGGCTTCACAAAGATTTCCTGGAATGACAAAAATTAAATATAGTAGTAAAGGGATACCAACTATTTCACAAAATAGTAAATTCCAACATCATTTATGACCACAGTCATAAGAGACACTGGAACACTTGTCCGTATTAAGTGGACAGTTGCATATAAAGAACTGATCATCACACCCTTTGGATATTCAAATTACTTACACAAAGCCAAAACATGGTATCACAGACCTTTACAAAATAGGACAATTTGTTTCTTTCTACACTTTTTAAAATTTGCTTCAAATTACAGTTCACAAATACAAGAGTCCTGACTTTTCAACCTTTCCAGTTGCAGTTAAAAAATGAACACTTTCTAAAAGTTAAGGTCAAGTGTTACAGCAAGAGAATGATTCCTATTGAAAAGTACACAGATTTTACTTAATGATACTCATGATAGATTGTAAACTGGATCTATCACATTCTACTCAACTGGTATCAAATGAACACATCAGCATTACAAGTATTATATGTTTTTCTATTACTATAGAGAATATAAACCAAAATATTAATATGGCAGTTATGTTCTTTAGGCACAGTTTAGTGATTTTTTTTTTTAAATAAATAGTATTGAATTTCAGTTGAAGTTTAAACTCAATAACCAAAGGGTCAAAAGCTCTGATTGGGGTGGGAGGAAGAATAACTTTAAACTAACAATGTAAGCTATTTAAAATTTCTAACACTTTAACCTATCTGGGTTTTATTTAAGATTACTTTATTAAAAAATACAAGGAATCTGAAAAAAGATCAATACAATTATCTTACTGTACAAAGTCATAAGCTGTAGCAGTTTTAACTAAAATTTAAAAACACAACAAGGAGGGCAGCCCTTTAGACCAATTTATTTTATATCCATTTAAAATATCATCCAACAAAGGACAATGAAGTTTACAGCTGGGACAGGTATACATAACTCGAGGCATCTGCAGTCCATCGTGCCCACTGAATAACAACTTTGCTGCTGAAATTTCTTAAAACTTACCAAACTAAAACAAAAGGCTGAATGATACAAAAGGAGGAGCATTTCAGTGTAGTCTGTTCTGTCAATTGGCTTTTTAAAAAAGAGGAAACACATCCTGTTTCCCCCAGACCAGTAAATAAGCAAGAGCTACATGCAGCAGTGTGAGTATTAAGACATTTCTCAAGTCTTCTCAAATGAGTCCAAGGTGGGGATGGGATGGGGGAGAAAATTGATAGAAAAACATTGCTATAGACACCATAACAAACAATAAATTTAGATAATTTAAAATTAAAAAAAAAGGCAAGAGGCAGCATTTCAGCAGCAAAGTGCTTGATAAAAAGTATATTGTAGAGGGTAATACACGAAAGTTGGGGTAAGAAGAGGGAAGAAAAATGGGTCAGCAGGATGGGCGAAGGCCTCAAAGGAAATACGGCGTCGTCGTTCTGGGAGGAATAACACGTTCTGAATCTGGAACTGCCCGGAATAACTTTGGTTCTCTTGTATTTACATCTTTGAAGACCATGATCGAAGCAATATTTCCACAACGATAGCAGTAATTAGGAGCAGACCATACTGTTACCAGCTTCTCATCAAACATAAATTTATAGCCTTCGTGCACTAGTTGGTGTGCTCTGCAGATGAGTTTTAAGTTGTTGATATGAACAAACTGCAATTTAGAAAGGTTTTGTTAAGTATCTAGCATTTTTAAAAATCATGCTATAAATATATTATATATATATATATGTGAAAATAGTATTTAAATAAAGTATAGGGGTGCCTGGGTGGCTCAATCAGTTAAGTGCCTGACTCTTGATTTTGGGTCAGGTTATGATCTCAGGGTTCTAAGATCGAGCCCCATGTCTGGCTCCACACTGGGCATGGAACCTGCTTAAGATTCTCTCTCTCCCTCTCCCCTCCCCTCCCCTCCCCAAAGAAATAAATAAATAACAAATCTTTTTACTACTAAAGTTCTCATGATTATAGAATCCATTCTACTCGTTATCCCCACTACTTCCAATAAGTTATAGACAAATAGAGCTGCTTTGGCCTAAGTTATAGAAATCACACAGTCACATAATTTATTAGAAGTTTCTGGAAGAAAAGCATTCTATAAACACTATCAGATATGAAACAAAGTTTTTATGTTGTAATAAAAAAATAAATCGCTATCAGTATCATTTACTGAGGGTGCAGTATGATTCTTACAAGAATTCTGAGACTTATTATTCTTCTTTTGTACCTTAAGGAAACAGGCTCAGAGAGCATAAATAATTTACCTAAATTATGCTGAACCTAACTAACTCCATTGTGCTGGATTACTTCCCAATATAAGCTCATCCCTATGTGCGTATATAATGTCTATGTGTGTTTTTTTTAATTGAAAACAGCTGAACTTCAAAAGTTGGCTTTTCACTATATATATATCTCAAATCATCATGTTGTACATCTAAAACTAATACGTTACATGTCAATCTAAATTGAAAATATATATTAACATTTTCTATGTATATGTATATATGTGTATATGTGTATATATATATATAAAAGTTCTCTATCTTGCCCTTGCTATCGTATTACTTAACTGCAATATTTGAAAAAAAAAAAAAAAAGAAAAAACATTTATTTTACACATATTACCAAGTGGAAACTGAAGGAGGTGCTTTCATTATGTGATCTCATTTAATGAATAAGGAAAGACCTACATGATAAACTAGATGAGAAACAGAAGGTTGTTATCTATAGCCACAATAGTTTTTATGTAGTCCATTAGCAACCAACAAACCATTTTTCAAAAAATATTGGCTTTACCTCATTTGTGACCTTTGCGCCAAAAAGCCAACCTGCTCCTCGGGGACTGATTGCCCAAGTATCCACATCTTCAGGATCTGACCAAACCAGATCACAAAATGCTCCTTTATGAGGAATTTCCTGATTCCGTTCAATGGTTCGAATTTGATCCAGTGTTTTGATATCAGGAGATAAACCACCATGAACACACAAAATCTGCTCATCTATTAACTAGCAAAAAGGATAATAGAGTTGAAAGTATAATAATAAACTCAGCCATATCTAAATTCATCAATGAATGTTAATGATGTCAATATAATTGAGATGGCAATTAGATAAAAGTATGCAAAGGGTTATTGGCAGGAAAATACTTGAGGTTTTACAAAGATTTACATAAACTTACAGCTGCTACTGTGAGCATGTCGAAAACTTTGGTACAGTATCTCCAGGCATTAGCATTTCCATATTTGGTTTGGCACTCATCTGTGAAAGAAACAGAAGAGTTTCTCATTAATGAAGTTCTAAAGCTGCCAATAAAAATAAAGAACGCATCCAATACTAAAGAAGTTTAACTTAAACTAGGACGGCAAGCTATGACCTGGTAGGTCTTCCACATAGAGCCATGAAGGACACTTGTGTTTAACTAGTCTAAGTATGTGGTCCTGCTTTTCATTCCAGAAGTGGCCCTACAAAGCAGTTCAAGTTATTGATCAAAATGCTATGATCAGAAAGAGCTAAATATTAAATTCATATATCCCAAAACAAATGCTTTGGTCTATTATGTTATTCATTTGGGACAATTCTATCAGAGTAATTTATTTGATGTGACCACCTTACTCTAGTAGGGTAATCAAACAAATCAGAGGACGCTTAATTATAGGAGCATTGGTGATTCCTATCTCAACATTTCTCAGGCCTAGGTTGTCTCTTCTGAGATTTTCTGCACATTGTGCAATGAAATACTCAAGCTCCAGTAAGTACACCTGCAGTCATCACTGGAGACAGACTGCCAATCAGGCTCTGATATATTCCCAGCTGAACACTTTCCCTGTTGTCTACAACAGTTAATAGGGTATACATCTCTTCTTTCATTAATATCATGGAAGTTCTGTTCTTTGACTTCTTCCTTATTTTCAAAAAAAACCTGACAGGGGCGCCTGGGTGGCTCAGTCGTTAAGTGTCTGCCTTCGGCTAAGGTCATGATCTCAGGATCCTGGGATCGAGCCCCTCAACGGGCTCCCTGCTCCGTGGGAAGCCTGCTTCTCCCTCTCCCACTCCCCCTGCTTGTGTTCCTGCTCTCGCTGTCTCTCTCTGTCAAATAAATAAAATCTTTAAAAAAATTTTTTTTAATTTAATTTAAATAAATAAATAAATAAATAAACCCTGACATATCACTATTGCCATAAGTACAAATGAAAATGATATAGAAGACTATGGGGTATGGGTGCCTGGGTGGCTCAGTTGGTTAAGCAACTGCCTTCGGCTCAGGTCATGATCCTGGAGTCCCGGGATCGAGTCCCGCATCGGGCTCCCTGCTCGGCGGGGAGTCTGCTTCTCCCTCTGACCCTCTTCCCTTTCATGCTCTCTATCTCTCATTCTCTCTCTCTCAAATAAATAAATAAAATCTTTAAAAAAAAAAAAGAAGACTATGGGGTATGATCAATCCTCATGGTTTTCTAAATTACCTCTATGTGTGAAGCAGGATCCTTATGTAAACTTGCCATGAGAGTACTAACACTGGGCTGAGCTTGCAGGCAGGAATCTTCTTTTTCCTCTTATTATACATATGCAAAGCATTTGGTTCATAATAACTGCTCAGTATATGTTTATCAGTGTGAACTGAAGGCCCAATATAATTAATAGCTATACATGGACATTTTTACTACTTTATTTATTTATTTTTAAAGCTTTTATTTATTCATTTGACAGAGACAGAGAGAGAGAGAAAGAGAGAGCACAAGCAGGGGAGAGAGGCAGAGGGAGAAACAGACTCCCCGCTGAGCAGGGAGCCCAATGCGGGGTTGATCCCAGGACCCGGAAATCACGACCCAAGCCAAAGGCAGACGCTCAACCATCTGAGCCACCCAGGCGCTCCCATTTTTACTACTTTAAAATCAATGTTAAGTTCCATGATAACTAAAATTATCTCCCGCTTGAGAAGCTAGTGGGCTTCCTTTTATTAAACAAAATAATAGATGAGCACGGCTTGGGAACAAAAGAATCAATACTAGATGTTGTGCTGTTATCATTTTCTTCAGTCAAGGCATCTTGATTAAAATAGTCCTCTTCCCCCCCTTTTATCCCTTTCCCTACACTGATAAATGTTGGTCAAATTTTGAGGTGTAATTATAACAATCTTAGAGACAGTTGCTTTTACTAAGCTAACACCACAGTATGTACTATCCAAACTATTGACTATTTTTGCTAAAGAATCAAAAAACTTTTATTTTAAACGGTACTTGATATTTTGTGAATGAAAATCAAAAGTAACTTGTAAAAAGGAGACAAATATTAGCGACCTAACTTTTCAATTACTATAAAGTTATATAAATCATAAATTATCAAAATTTCTCAACTTAGTAATTGATAATGGCTTACAAATTGAAGAGTAAGAGTTTAGTTTCTCTTTATTATGACAGAAAAGAATCCAAAATATAAAATCTAAAACTAAAGTGTTATGAGATTAATATTTTCAAATATCTCAATATCTGCCTTAATTATGCTTAAGGAAAATTCATGTTAATAATCTCAACAGTTCTGCCATCTCCTTCAAAGAGCTTCCTAACCTCATTTTTTTCCCCCAACCTCATTTGTTAAAACTTTAAACCATATAAAAGTTTTATAGAAGCAGATATTTTGCTTTTAAAGGTTAAGTTTCGTTTCTGACCCCTGAGGTCCTAGCATTCTCTGGATGGAGCAGATAATTATATATATTATACACATATAATATTATACATATGTAAAAGGATATTCATTCAGCTATGTGTATAACAGCAACTTAAAAACAATTCCAATGTCCAGTGTTAAAGATACTGGTTTAATCAGTTATAGTACAACCATACAGCACAATACAATGCAGCTATAAAAATGTCAGGGAAGTAAAGAAAGGCTGGTAGCATTAGGTGAAAAAAGCAGGTATGTGCACACATAAATATGTTTACAAACACACACACACATACATATATATATATTTCTCAAACTTTCAAATGCAGAACATTCACCTTCAGCAGATTCTAGGATTCCCACCCCAAGAGGTTTTCAGTGGGGCCCAGCAATGTACATTTTTAACAAGCACCCCTGGTGATTCAGTTGAGGTAAACTGAGGGCTACACTTTGAGGCAATGATCTAGGACAATGTACACCAAAAAGTTAAGAACAGTTCTCTCCCCATGGTAAAGTTCTCAACTGATTGGGGGATGAAGAGTTAAAAGGTTGAGAAAGTGGAAAAAGATGATCTGTATTTCTAATTTTACTATAAAGCATATGTATGACTTGTATGGCTTTTCTCCCAAAGAGGAAAGAAAACAATATTCAGAATCAGAGAAATAGAAAGTCTTACCATAAAATCCATACACTTGTGTTATCTGTCTACTCTCATGATTTCCTCGCAAAAGTGTAATACGATCAGGCCATTTAGCCTTTAGTGCAAGAAGGTAAGTGAAGGTCTCCAAACTATAGTAACCTCTGTCTACAAAATCACCCTGTAGAGTAAAAGTTTAGAGTTAGAAACAATACAATAGCAACAATATTTTTTAAAATTATATCAAAGTGTCAAACTCAGAGACACGGCCAAAAGTAACAAAAATGAAGAATCACATGTTGAATTACTTGGAAATTGGGTTTTAACAAAAAACTCAAAGTACATAAGCGGTCTCTACTAAATGTGCTACTCTTATGATTCAGGAGGCCTACAGGAATCTGCTGTGCAATTCTCTCAAGGATCTTCCCTGCAAAGCCATCATTTTTCCCATTCTCTATTACCTACATTAGCAGATGTTTCTAAAAGGTCATATGAGAATCAAAAATTTTAAAATGAATTTCAAAAATCACTTTATTATTTTTTAATATTTATTTACTTAAGCAATCTCTACACCCAATGTGGGGCTCAAACTCACGACCCCGAGATCAAGAGTCGCATGCTCTTCTGACTAAGCCAGCCAGGCACCCCAAAAATCACCTTATCAGCAAAACTATCAACTTGAAGAAACAGTGTTTTTGTAAAAGCAGATACCATAATTATAACAGTGTTCTAAGTTCAGCTGTGTATTTAACAACTGCATGTGAAGTCATACTATTTACACTTCCCATTAATGTTTTACTTGGGACAATGTTAGATCAATAGGAAAACAGCTAAAAGAATAGGAAAATGACCTAGAAATCTCTAGAAGGAAGGAAAATGATAGGATTTAGAAAAAATTGAACAGTAACATTACATGCCAAAAGCAAAGTAAGGAAATATGTGCATATATTCATCAATCCACAGATTGATAGCAGATGAAAATGAATGCTCAAAAAAAGTGTGATAAAATAACAGTAAATTGAAGATCGGTGCCTTAAAGTTGGGTGGTTCTGGACTATTTTTCTGCCAACCATTATTTAGGGCTACAAACCAGTCCTATGCATATGGCAATTTACTAAAGCAATTATTTTCAACTAGACAACATGGCAAAATGTAAAAAAGTATAGCATCACCTTTTCATATAATTAGTGAATGTCACATGACAATGAAATTATTATGTAATTTACATGTAATAAGTCAGACCCTTTCCATTTTAAATAAGTATGTGGTATCATTGGGGTTTACATACCATAAATATGTAGTTTGTGTCAGGAACCTGACCTCCAGTTCTGAATAGTTCACAAAGGTCATAAAACTATAAAAGAAAGGCAATATATGCTGATTACAAATTCCTGTGAAGGAGTAAAATAATAAAACTGAGAGTGAAATGTGTAAAGAAGCATGTAATTAAGAAGACCTCAAATACTGACACTTATAAAAAGAAATAAAGTGTAAGCAAAACTGCCAAGCACACAGCTCTCAAGTCTAAAAAAACACTAAAATAAATCTCACAATTACCAGTAAAGTCATTCCTAGATCATTAATGTTATGGGCCTTCCCCCTCAAATTTCTTTCATTTTATCTTGTCATCTAGAATTTTTTAAGTAACCTCTATGTCCAACGTGGGGCTTGAACTCACAACCCCAAGATCAAGAGTCACATACTCCACCAACTGAGTCAGCCAGGTGCCCCACCATTTGAGAATTTGAAATAACTGATCAGTTATCTAACTTGTTAATAAGCTAACCTAACCACCCCACTCCATACTCAGCATCTATTTTAATGAGACAAAAGATAGGGAAAGAAGTAGATAAGAATTTTTTTGAATGAATTTACATGACACTTCACAGCATCATGTAGAGCAGATCAACCTACCTTCCTACACTCTATTTTAGAGATGTACACCCTCAGGCTCTTTAGCTGTGGAGTGTTTCTCAATAATCAGTAAAAAAGAATTGTATATTTCATCATATTCTATTTCACTGAAAATTGGTAATTGACAATTTATACATGTGGTAATCTCAGTCAACTGGATTATCTTAATCCTAATTCCTAAAGAAAACTTCAGTTTTTCTAAGAAAGGATTTTGGATTAAAGTAATTTACTATAATATATTGTACCAAGTACAGCTAATCATTTCCTACACAGTTATCTTTTATGCTTGAAAATAAAATTATTACATTTCTAACACTTAAAAAGGTGGTCACCGTGAACAAAATTGAAATTTAAATGTTAACTACTAAAAAAATATAGTACTACCCTTTATAATAGTATTTCATAAGTCTGAAGTTGTTCCTTGCTTAGAGTTAAAAAAAAAAAAAACTCTAGAAAGTTTAAAAAAATTTTCCCTATCTTCTTAAAATTAGCAAGCAAATAAATGAAACAGTGTTCAATTTCAGTCAAGTGGCAGACTATTATTTGTCCAACATATTTGCTGCCCATTTCTATTATGTGGAGCCCTTCCCTTTGAAAGTATATTTCTCAGGGCACCTGGGTGCTCAGTCGGTTGAGTGTCCAACTCTTGGTTTTGACTCAGGTCCTGATCCCAGGATTGTGGGATTGAGCCCCGCATGGGGCTGAGTCTGCTTAGGATTCTCCTTCTCTCTCTGCCCCAACCCCTCCAGAGGCTCTCTCTAAAATAATCAATCTTTATAAAAAAAAAAAGTACACTTCTCTATTCCCATCCCACAGATGTATATATGATGCATGTATATCATACATCATTTACATAGCATATACGTTTATATATATACACACAGCATAAGCAATAAAAATATGTGTGTGTGTTACTCTGGCTTAGTAATTCCACTTCTGTGACTATATCCTAAGGGCAAAAATAAATGAATAAATAAATAAATAAATACATAAATAAATAAGTAAATGCTGTGTGAATATATAGAAAATGTGTTACAACATCATTTATAATAATAAAAGAAACAACCTTCATGACTTAACGTAAGAGACTATTTTAATAAAGTATGATCTACCAACTCAAAGACCTGGACCAATCATGAATAATGATTATAATGGAAACTATGTAGCAAAACAGAAAAATGATTAGGGAAAAGAATGGAACACAAAACTATACCTAAAATAAACTACACAATTTTACTATGTATACACACAGAGTCAGGGAACATTTAAAAGTTTCATGAAACGGTTGCTTTTGTAAAGGAATGGTGCAAGAGTGAGCGTCCTTAAACTTTTCTATTGATAGTTATAGAAATATGTTCTTAAATAAAAATGTTATAAGTTTCCATTTACTCTATATATATTTAATAGATGATCAAATATTCTGCTTCGGGGACCCAACAGTTCCTACTCCATAATGGAAGTTTTTTCCAAAATTCTTTAACATAATAAACATTTACTGAGAACATGTGCAGACAACTAAGCTTGTCCTACATTACTGGAAGCTCACCTCATCATTTCACAAATAATTTCTACCATCTATTATATGTTTTCAACATCATGGACACTCTGTAAGTCTCATTTTATTTTTTAATTTTTTTAAAGATTTATTTATTTATTTGAGAGAGAGAGAGAGAGCATGCACATGAGCGGGGGCAGGAGCAGAGAGAAAGGGAGAGAAGCAGACTCCATCCTGGGTGCAGAGCCCGACACGGGGCTCGATCTCACGACCCTAAGATCATGACCTGAGTTGAAACCAAGAGCTGGGCACTTAACCGACTGAGCCACCCAGACACCCCTGTAAATCTCATTTTAAAATAAAAGCAATCCTGAGGGGCGCCTGGGTGGGTCAGTTGTTAAGCGTCTGCCTTCAGCTCAGGTCATGATCCCAGGCTCCTGGGATCGAGCCCCTGCATGGGGCTCTCTGCTCAGCGGGAAGCCTGCTTCTCCCTCTCTCACTTCCCCTGCTTGTGTTCCCTCTCTCCCTGTCTCTCTCTGTCAAATAAATAAATAAAATATTAAAAAAAAAAAAAAGCAATCCTGAGAAGTGGATTTTATTCCATCAATAGAGAGACAAGGAAACAGTTGGCTAGCTCAGTAGTTTTTAAACTTTTTAGATCCAGGACCTATTCATAGTCTTAAAACTTATAGGTGCCCAAAAACCTTTTGCTTATATAATTTATATCAGTTGCTACTGACCATATTGAAAATTAAAACTAATCATTTTTAATATTTAATTTTTTTAAATCAGTAACAACTCATTAAATAATAAGATATACATATTTCTAATGAAAAATAAACAAGGTTTTCAAAAACAAAATAAATCTAATGTCTGGCTAAACAGAATATGGCTAGATTTTCATAATCTGCCTCTGCATTAATCTGTTGGGATATAGTGATGAAAGTATATGAAGAAAATCCAGCTTCACACAAGTGTATTTTACAAAAAGGAAGAGTATTTTAATAATTTTTAGAGATAATGGTGCATATTCTTTTAATATATGAACACTTGATAAATGATCTTTTTCCTATTCTGTTAGTAGGGCTAACACTCTCAGTGGCTAACACACTGGTCATTTGGAAAACAGAAATGGTATTTCATTATACATCACCAAAAAACCGTATTAGTTAATATCACCACCAACAGAAAAGTCTTTAAATATCAGAAGCTGACAGTCTGCCATCAAGATGGTGGGCTCAAATTTTCTAAAATTCTAATTATTGATTTGAAAACTCAAATTTTGTCACTGGCAATAAATACTGTCAGTTGTTTTCCTTGAAAGTGACTGGCTCACTCCTTCACTGTTGCAAAGATGGTTGCCAAATACCCAAAGCTTGTCATTCATTCTCAAGTAAAAATAGTGTTCCATAAAAAGAGAAGCTACTTCAGCTTGTGATACAAAAAACTACACAACTATTTTCCTTGAGCAAACCATCTTTCTTTGGTATGCAGCAGATGTGCTCTATGCATACTTCCCGTTTCCATCATAGGACTATTCAAAAGATGTATCAACTCAAGGGTTAAGAATTACAATTAATATTACTGCTTCATCAAGGACATTCTTTGTGATCATGGTATCTCCCCTGCCAGGTCAGTATCATCATCAAGGACATCCTAAGTGATACTGGCATTTTATTTTACTGTGCATGCATGTTGGTGAAGAATACAATAACAATAAGCACAGTCTGGTGCTACTCCCTTGATTCATGCTGAGATACCTGCAGTTTTACCCTCAACTGATTTTGTACCACCTTACAGACCTTCAAAGGTCCACAGGCCATACCTAAAAAACTTCTGATTAGCCGAAGTAACTTCTTGAACAGTTAATGTGTAGCCAAGCCAGGACTTAAACCAAGCTCTGACAATGAAGACCACAATCTCCTCACTAGCTTACACTGTTTCAATGCTTCTCAGCACTTTATGCTTGCCAAAAATTTTTAATGAGTTTATACTCATAATCCAATCTTACCATGCCAGAACTGGCCCAAGGAGAAGACAACTCTACAAATCCCAAAGGATATATCTTACATACATTTGGAAGCTCCAAAAGTCCCATGCTTTTGATTAGCTAGTGATATAAAGGGTCAAGTATAAGAGAAACAATGTTCAATTTGGTGGTAGTCTTAACGCCGGCTTATACCTGAAACTAATGTAACCCATTGTATACCAACTATACTTCAATAAAAAAAATTAAAAATAACATGGACACCAACACCAAAGTTAAGTTTCAAATCTCAACTATGTCCCTTAGTAGCTGTGTGAATTTCCATCTTTCAGTCTAAGTTTCCTTTCTTACAAAATAATCCAATCTTACAGGACTCTTGAAAAAATATGACATGGAATATGTGAAAAAGCACTTTGCTAACCTTCAAAACACAAGATGTTAGCTAGAATTGTACATTTGACTGAAGGTGTATATATACTACAATAGTAAAATTTTATTATTTTAATTAATTTTAGTAGTTTGAAGTTGTCTCTAATTTCCTGACCTTTGATCATGGCTGTAAATTACATACAAAAAAAGTGGCTGTAAATTATGTACTAGAAAGTCCTGATAACCTAGGTAATCCATCAATTTTAATATTATAATCAGGGGAAAACATTACTTGATTTATTTCAGCGCTCAGGAACGTGTTATGGCATGCTTATATTAGTATCATTTATCTTAGCAAAAATATAAACGTTTATTATATTTTTGGAGAGAACTTATATGGATTTTAAGAAATGCACTCCTAAAGTCTACTCTAGAGAACTAAGATCTTAAAAGATCTGAGATGGAGGTCTGAGTGGCACAGTCATTTAAGCGTCCAATTCTTGGTTTCAGCTCAGGACTCGATCTCATGATTGTGAGATCGAGCCCCGCCTAAGCTCCGTGTTCAGCACCAAGTCGGCCTGAGTTCTTGCTCCCTTTCCCTCTGCCTCTTCGCACCCCTCCCTCCACCTCACATAAATAAATAAATCTTTCAACAGATCAGAGATGACATAATGGGCTCTCTATTTAGAAGCTGATAACATGCAAATGCCAGATTTATTATGACCTCAACTACCCAGAGAACAAACTGAAAACCAAAAAAGAAAAGAGCCCTCTAAAGTGGTCAAAATAGAACTTAATTCACGGAGCAGCCCTCAATCATAACCAATATAGACACTTTCTGCTTCTTTAGGCAGTCATTCAAGGCAGGGAAATTGCACAGATGACAGCAAGTCCTGCTGGCATTGATAAATATATTGTTTACAATATATGTCTGATAGCCACAACTCCGTTGTATGCATACAGCAGACTGAGTGAGTGCTCTGTTCAGCTTTCTTCCCCAGTTAAAAAAAAAACATACACACACACACACACAAAACACCTCTACAAAGACACAGAGGGTTTCCAACCAGGCTACACGCTGACAGTAAGAGTCTAAAGATGAGGTGTACTCCTCCTTGCCACTGTCCTGAAACTCTTAAAAACAAAAACCCAGCAGATGAAAAAACAAGACTAATCTTTCTCCAATTCTAGCAGTGACTTGCTGTAAAATCATGCACCAACAATTTTATCTTTCTGAACCTTTGTTATTCTCATTGCCACTAAGGAAATGATACATTTTTAATAAAATGTGACGAGTGAATAGAATGAATAAACAGAAATGAATAGAATAGAAAATAGAATAGAAAATTAGCACCTAAAACCAAAGCACCTCCTGTTACTCACAATCACTGTGAGCTGTCCACATTTATTTTCTCTCTCCCCACTTCACAGAGCAATAATGCTGCATTCTATCCACTTTGCAAGTATAATTTCAACAAACTCCATGAATAATTTGACCACTGCTTTTACTCACTGTAATAGTAACCAGGAATCATTAGTGTCACACAGACTGAGGCAATCTATCAAATGACCAGCTGTTTTTGTTTCTTGTTTTTCTGGTGGCTTTTTTGCAGCATAAGTGGAAACACACATGGACTATGGACAGTACAAAAGCTAAAAATCTGCTCATGAAATTTTACCTGTCCGTGTATGTCTCCACACACTGTTACTGGTGTCGATACTGGCTGGACATTTGACTCTTCTAAGAGGAGGTCACAAACATAGTCACATAGCCGCTGTAAGAAGAGAAAATAAAATGCAACCTTTCACTACAATATTAAAACTAAGGATCAAATGCAAAAAAGACAAGAACTAATACATATATTGTTTCATAGGAAAGGAAACTACCCTTTAACGATTCTGTGGTTTGATTCGTCAGCTTCCACCTTCATCTCATAATGCCTGAGGATGATACAACGGCTATTCCAAAATGCAAACTCCCTGGCCACACAGACAATAGGTTCTAGAAAACAGCTTTAAAGAAACTGTAAAATGATACTTTTCACCAGCAAATGTTAAGAGTAAATAACTCTAATAGGAAAAGGTTTTTATCTACTAATTTTTAAAGTAAATTGCAGGGCACCAGGGTGGCACAGTCAGTAGAGCACCCGACTCTTGGTTTTGGCTCAGGTCATGATTTCACGGTTGGGAGATCAGGCCCTGCAGCAGGCTCCATGCTCAGCACGGAGTCTGCTTGGGTTTCTCTCTCCTTCTCCCTCTGCCCCTCCTCCTCCCACCTCTAAAATGAATTAATGAATCTTTAAATAAATAAATACAGTAAATTGCAAACCATGCACTTACCATATGACCTAACAACTGCACTCTTAGCAATGAAAATTTATGTCCACATAAAAATCTGTGCACAAATGTCAAGAGAAGCTTAATTCATAACAGCCAAAAACTGGAAATAAGTTGGTGTCCTTCAACAAATGAATAGTTAAACCAATTGTGCTATATTTATTCCATGGAATACTATTCAGCAGTAACAAGAAACTATTGACACACCTGGATGAATCTCAAGAGGTTTATGCTGAGAAAAAAAAAACCTATCCCAAAGGTTACATACTGTATGATTCCATTTATATAACATTCTTGAAATAACAAATTTATAGAAATGGAGACCAGGGGTGCCTGGGTAACTCTGTCGGTCTGCCTTTGGCTCAGGTCATGATCTCAGGGTCCTGGGATCGAGCCCTGCATCGGGCTCCCTGCTCAGCAGGAGTCTGCTTCTCCCTCTGCCCCTTGCTCTGTTCGTGCTCTCTCTCTCAAATATATAGAATTTAAATAAATAAATAAATAAATAATAAAAGCTACAATGTAACTAAACATATAAAAGACACAATTTAACAACCACAGCTACTTCATACAGAGCCAGGCATAGGAGAGAACTCACAATGACAGATGACGGGGAAGGGGGGGCAGGGAGGTAGATAGTGGAAGCCTCTCAAAAGAAAATGAGGGGAAATACAGCTGCTTAGAAAATTTCAAAATAAAAACAGTTTGTTCTTATTCTTAGGATAAGTTCCTGATCTTCAAATAGAACCTCAAAGGCACGATCTTTCTTCTGGCCTGGAGTCCTTCTGGCTTTGGGCCCCTGAGTAGCTAGCTCCTTCTTGTGTTGAATTTCCCACAACTCTCAGATGCTTCACCAAAGAGCCTTAGTCCTGCCAATAATCCATCCACTATTCATAATAGGAACAGATACCAGTGAGTGAAACAATGTTTCTGAACTGAGAGCCTTAACTTTATAATGAAAGATGGTTTCTCAAGGTTACTTCAGTTAAAAAATTCTGGTTTACATTTGTAAAAGAAAAAAAATCCAGCTTTTTATTTCCTATGTAGGGAAAACCCAGTTCTTCCCTGGTGTGTGCTTCTTTCCTGTGTGTCTCCTGTCCTAGTCACACAGAACACTCACACTTCCGGTCACCGGAATGTGTGAAGGTTTTTTCCCCACAACAAGCAATTCTTTGTGACACTAGCTGGTTGTCCTACAATTTAACTCAATTCTGACACTATCCACATAGAGATAACATCATATCCCACAAGGGCTCAGCCCCACAAGACTGTCACCTCCACCCCCCCACCCCCCCCACACGCACTTCAGACATCAGTCACAAGCTCAGGTTATCACCTACGCTTCTGACCAACCAGCTACAGATCAAAGGTTATGGAGGTTACAAAGACCTCCTCCTTGGGTCTAATTAATTTGCTAGAGCAGCTCACAGAACTCAGGAAAACATTTACTTACATATACCAGTTTATTAAAGAACATGACAAAGGATACAAATGAACATTCAGATGGAAGCTCTCTGAACTCCATATTTCGGAGATTTTATGGAAGCTTCATCATGTAGACACGATCCATCATTAACTCCATTTTCAGCCCTGCTCCCTTCTGAAGAGAATGGGAGGCAGGACTGAAAATGCCAAGCTTCTAATCATGTTTTGGTTTTTCCAGTGACCAGCCTATATTCAGGAGCCATCTGGGAGCCCACACAGAGTCACCTCTTTAGAACAAAAGACACTCCTATTACCCAGGAAATTGTAAGGTTTTTTTGTGCTAAGATCTGGGGACAGAGGGGTGCCTGGGTGGCTCAGTCATTAAGCATCTGCCTTCGGCTCAGGTCATGATCTCAGGGTCCTGGGATCGAGCCCCGCGTTGGGCTCCCTGCTCAGCAGGAAGCCTGCTTCTCCCTCTCCCACTCCCCCTGCTTGTGTTCCCTCTCTCACTGTGTCTCTAATAAATAAATAAAATCTAAAAATAAAAATTAAAAAATTAAAATTAAAAAAAGAACTGGGGACAGAGACCAATATATATATTTATTTCTATTATCTCACTGCATTAAAAACCACCTGTGTCAAATCTTTCACTTGACCCAGATGATGTAAGACTGAGACCCACAAGCACTCAGGTCACTAAGCTACTTAATCTTAGCAACAGATCTGGAATCCAGGTTACCTACCACTTTTCGCTATACTATCTTGAATATTTACTGAGAGCCTAATATACCAGTGATTCTAGAAACAAAGTAAATAAAAAGTAAAGATCAAAAAGACTAAAAGCCCTGCTCTCAAGAGGTTTACACTCTAAGGAGGAGAGGTATAGAAAATAAAGAAGTAAAATATATATTCATACTACTTTTTCAGATAGTGGTAGGAGGAATGGAGAAAAATTAAGCACTGTAACGGGAGTAAATGGTGGCAGGGGCAGGAAGCAGTACTGACATCTTAAATAGGGTGAGCACAGAAGCCTTACTGATGAAGTGACTTCTGAGCAAAAATCAGAAAAAGGTAAGGTTATAGGGGAACAGTATTGCAGCCAGAGAGAATAGTAAGTACAAAATGCTTAGAAGAAAGCATGGTTGCTGTCTGGGAAACATCAAAGCTGGAGTGGTTAGTGGACTGAATTAAAAAAAACAGGAGAGCACCACAGAATATTTTTAGGTCCTTGGGGGTGAATGTAAGGACCTGGCTTTTAACAGGAAGCCATTGGGAGGCCCTAAGCAGAGGAGTGATTATGATCTTATGTCTGCTATATTTTATGGGCTATGAGGAACTCAGGAATAGGGAAAAGGTAAAGGCAGAAACAGGACACCACTTAGGGAGTTTCTACAATAATCTAGGTAAAAGTTAATACTGGCTTGGACCAGCATTATTAAAGTAGGAAATGGTCACAAGTGAACAAATTCCAGATGTTTTCTGAACATAGTATCCACTAGATTTGAGAACAGTTGGAAAGAGTATTGAAAGAAAGGAATCAAGGATGACTCAATGTTTTTGGCTTAAGGGGCGCCTGGGTGGCGGTTAAGCGTCCAATTCTTGGTTTTGGCTCAGGTCATGATCTCATGGGTTGTGAGATCAAGCCCTACATTGGGCTTCGCTTCGCGCTCAGTAGGGAGTCTGCTTGAAGATTCTCTCCTTCTGTCCCTCCTCCAACTCGTGTGCTCTCTCTCTAATAAATAAATCTTTATTTATTTTTAAAGATTTATTTATTTGACACAGAGAGAGAGCATGCACAAGCAAGCAGAGCGGCAGGCAGAGGGACAGAGAGAAGCAGGCTCCCCGCTGAGCAAAGAGCCCCACAGGGCGCTCGATCCCAGGACCCTGGGATCCTGACCTGAGCCAAAGGTAGACGCTTAACCGACTGAGCCACCCAGGCACCCCAATAAATAAATCTTTAAAAAAATTTTTGGCTTGGGGTGCCTGGGTGGCTCAGTCGTTGAGCATCTGCCTTTGGCTCAGGTCATGATCCCGGGGTCCTGGGATTGAGCCCCGTATCAGGCTCCCTGCTCAGCGGGAAGCCTGCTTCTCTCTTTCCCACTTGCCCTGCTTGTGTTCCCTCTCTCGCTGTGTCTCTCTCTGTCAAATAAATAAATAAAATCTTTAAAAAAAATTTTTTTTTGGCTTAAGTAACTGCAAGGGTGTTAATAGTCATTATTGAGATAGTTAAGACTCCAAGGAAAGACTTTCTTATTGTTTTTTCCTTTTAAATAGAATTTATTTTTTAAAGCAGTTTTAGGTTCACAGTAAAATTGAGAAGATACAGAGAATTCCCATATATCTGCTGCTCACAGACACATACATACAGCCTCTTCCACTATCAACATTGCATAACAGAGTGGTACATTTGTTACTGATGAACCTACACTGATGCATCATTATTAGGCAGAGTTCATAGTTTACATTAGGGTTCACTCTTGGTATTGTACATTCTATGGGTTTGGACAAATGTATAATGACATGTATACAGAATTATAGTATTATACTGAATAATTTCACTACCCTAAAAATCCTCTGTGCTTCAGCTATTCATCCTTCCCTCCCCCAAACCCTGGACACCACTGATCTTTTTACTGTCATCATAGTTTTGCCTTTTCCAGTGTGTCATACAGTTTAAATCATACATAAGTAGACTTTTCAGATTCCCTTCTTTCACTTAATGACATGCATTTAAGGTCCTTTCATGTTTTTTAATGGCTCGATAGCTCATTTCTTCTTAGTACTAAATACTATTCCATTGTCTTGATGTACCAGTTTATTTACCCATTCACCTACTGAAGGACATGTTGGTTGGTTCCAAATTTTAGCAGTTATGAATAACGCTACCATAAACATTCATGTATAGGTTTTTGGGTGAACACAAGCTTTCAGTTAATTTGGGTAAATAGCAAGAAGCGTGACTGCTAGACTGTACAGTAAGAGTTTGGCAAGAAACCGCCAAACAATCTTCCAAAGT